CAATTTGGTCAATTCTACTTAAAGTTATGTTCATAAACCTCAAGATTTTAGAATATAATCTCATCTTTAAAAGAACCGGTGTTTTCAAAAACAGGAAAGGCACAGTTTAAACATCCAAGCAATTGTAATTCTACTGTGTCACGACTTTTCAGTCCTACTTCCATGTAAATTATTGTTTTCAGGATGTAGAAAATGATATACAAGTGGTAGAGTTGCTGACATTCTTGCATACGTTTTAGAAGTCACTTTCAGCGATGTTTAGGATTGGCTTAACTCACATAGAAATCAGAAAATGGAACTGAAAAAATAAAAGCTACTTTGGTGCTTCTGGCGTCTCTACACAGAAATTGTATCTTCTTTCATTAATACTGAATTTGATTTATGAAATCTAAATGTATAATAGTAAATTACTGTTTTCAATAGGAATTAGCATTTAAAGAGCTGTGAAAAGTATATATTGCAGTTCAGTGGAAGCTGCATGGCTGTGAAGAAAGTCACATTTTCCAAGTACCCATATAGAATTACATTCAGTATGCCTGGATGTGAGGCTGCACCAGTGTGTTGAACTGGCATGCTAATATATTTGGTGTTTGTTGTTATATTTCTTTGCAATATCCAGAAAATTAGGTAAAGATTAAATTTATGTAATAAAGCTGCATGATTTTAGTTTGTTTTTTGGTTTGTTTTTTTTTAATTTCAAGAATGTGAATTAAAGCTCTCTCTGTAGTGGGATAACTATGAAATGTAAACTTAGGAAAAATCATGCAGAGGATGAGACAAGGCTATTAGTTTTGAAGTGCCATGGGTTATTCAAAGTAACCTAAAGCCTTTATGTGCACCTTTCAGGTGTGCATAAAGTCTTTGCCATCTCATTTCACCTAACATGAACACCACTAGGTATTGTCCATGGTGGTACTCCGCACTGACTGACTCTATAGTGCTCTTTGGATTACATACTGTTCCCAGAGGCTAAATAAAGCCTGAGACTAAATTGCTTCTTTTGCCGAGGACTAAACTAATGCTAGATGCTGAAAGGGGCAGTTCAGAAACCTCGTGGGCTGCATGACCTAGTATCCAATCCAAGGGCTCAGTCTCAGCCCTGACAGCTTCTTGTTAGGTCTCCTCAACTGGAGATGGTCAATTGGTTATTAAACTGCTAAAACCTCCAGCTTCTGTGTACTTCTGTGCAAGAAAAATGTTAAACTCTAAAAAGCAGGGTTCATATCTTGTTTTTCTAGGTTAATTTAAAATGCCAAACAGTCAACAGTCTTTGGTAAACACATCAGATTCAGTGTAGATCTGGCTCTTTTTTATGAGGAAGGGCTGTCCAAGGAAAGCTTGTTTTGCTGTTGTGGGTGGCAATGCTTTTGTGACATTGAATTCAAAACTCAGGCCTGAGTTTCATATATATTCATGTAATATCCTGTCTATCTCTCTAGTTCAGCCAGTTAGTGGCTTATTTGGACATCTAGCCCATTATATATTCAGGAACAAATTATTTTACTTTGTAAAGATAAAAGTTCACCTTTTCAAGACATCCTTATGTTTTCAAAACACCCATGGATAAAAAGAAGTTAAAACAAAACAGAAATGATATTTGCAAGGGTTATGATCAGCAGGGATAGGTAGGCTAGGGCTGTATTGTTTCCAACCTGCTGTGTGGACTATTTCTGCAGTCTTTGGCCATTACAAGAATGGGAGGTGATGTAGCAAAGGAGAGACTGGACATTTATGTTCACGGATGTGCTTATCTCTCCAAATCAATTGAGTTAGAAGAAAAGGAATGAGAAAGATTTGATGATTAAATACCTTCCAAACTAGTGGAAAACACATAAACTTGTCAGTAGTAGTTGAACAAATTAATGAAAGGATTTCCAGCCACCAGCCAAGCAATAGGCAGTAATAAGTTTCTTTCTTAGTAAGAGGCTTGTGGGTAGAACATCATTTTAATTTCTTGGAGTGTTTCTCAATCATATAAATTTCTAGATGAGTATGTCTTAATGTTGCTGGTTCACATGCCCTGCCACTAGTAGATTATGAGTATTAGAGCTTGATAAATAGTCATCTGGCCTTATCTGCTCCTTTCTTTCGCTCTCTTGGAAAGCTTGTTTAGTTTTATCTTACACCTTTCCTAGTTTAGAGCTGATAAATACTTAACATTGAAATTATATAAACAGTGTCAATGTTTTTAATGTTTTTCAAAGCTAAAATGTGCCTGACCTGATCTTATTTCACTTTTTCAGAAAATAAACAGGATGCAATAGATTTTTACTATCTTCTGTTCCAAAACTCTGTCAGATTAGCTGCAAAATAACTTTTGTTTGACAATGTTGTATAAATACTTTTTTCTTGAATGGTGGTGATACCAAAAGACTTAAGACCAAAGGCTTTGAAGTATTGTCCAATTGTTTCAGTATATACTGCGTTAAGAAATGTTTTAACTTTTGTAGCTTTGAAGGGTGTCTTAACATTAAGCAAAAGCTGGTGTGTTTCTGCACCACATGGAAATGAAGAAATATCCAAAAGCACTTTTCCTTTCTGATAGTTTTTATTGGGTGATATTGAGTAACCGCTTCAAGATGAAACCCCTGCATTTGTGTATTTGCGTAGATCTTAGTTCCAGCCTAACTGGGGCTTAAGGAATTAGTGTAGAACAAAACAACTGCTGAATTTTGGGGAAAAGGAGCAGTGTTTTAAACCACACTTTTGTGAATATAGAAGAAAAATGCATTAGTGTAAGAAAGGATGGGTTACATTGGTTCCTTTTTACAAAACACAAGACAAGTGGGGTTTGTTGGTTTTCTTTTTCCCGGAAAATACTATCCAAAAAAGCAGACAAAATTCAGAAAGAAGAAAATCGAAACATATCTTGATATAATTTCTTTTATTGGATTCAGTGGCAGAAAAAAAAATAGATAGAAAAAACTAGATGTGAAATGTAAAAAAAAGAAAAGCCTTCAAGAAGTCTTTGGGAAAAAAAAACAACTGAGTTTTCATCTTAAAAAGAAAATCTTTAAAATATCCTTTGAATTAAAACACATTGTCTGATCCTACTAGATCAGTAGTTTTAATAAGATTGTCCATTTTGAACTCTGCTAATAGTTCATAAGATTTCTTACTGGTGTGGTATAGTGGTTATGTTGCATTGTATTGAAATACTTGCAATATTCCATTCCGGTGGTTTTCATTTATTCCTGTGTTTGCAAGAGTAGGTACAGTTTCAGGATGGGAAGTGATTGGGTCTTTAGCCTATGTAAAGAACTTCAGAAGAAAACCACTGAGTAGGACCTATCCTTTTAATTTCATCACTTTTTGCAAGAGGAGAACTCTGGAAGAGAAGCCTGAGGGTTAAAGACTGTGACAAATGCCTTTAGATATTAACCTGCCTTTCAGTCAGTACATGCTCTGTGGTTGTTGTCTTCTTGCCTTAAGATGCCTTTCATCTGTGTGGATTTTTATCTCGACCTTTACCAAAACGGAGCACAAGGTTGACAGTTTTAAGTAGCATTTTGGTGTGTTAAGAAAGTGTTGAACTTGAAAAGAGGCTTTTTGAGTGAACAATTGAAATGTGATGAAATTTCATGTAATTGGTCAATGATAAGTGAAAAGTTCACCTTTTAAACCTTTCTTATGTTTTCCAGTAGTCTCCCTACTCAAAAGCCAAAAATAAATTATTATTATTATCATCATAGTGTGGGATGATAGATATTCTAATGATAGGAAAAGAATTTTGTATGGCAAGCAGAACAAAAGCAGGAGCAAAAGTACTATTGTGCTTTTGTTGGATAAAGTTCAAAAGAAGTGATAATATTCCTAGATTACAAGCATTCAGTAACAGCAAAGAATACATTCTTTGCATACGGATACATATATATAATATAAATAATTTATTCTTTCTTCTCAAATATTCTTCTTAAAAAATTGTGCAACCTTTATTTCTCTGAAGCATCTGAAAGTATTTATTGTATACTGTATATTGACTTTTGACATCCATATTTATCATGTGTTATACATATTGACATTTATATTTATTGCATATTGCATATATATTGACAGTATTTATTGTTTCCTTTTTATTTTTTTCATTTCCAGAAGTGCTCTGAAATTCAGCTTAAATGGAGTTTTTCTTGCTGATTCAATATCATTTTGACCTAAAAATACCTATGTGGCATGGTAGACAGTGCCAAATGATTCAGAATTACTCAATCTTGTCTCGCACAAAAGCCAGCGATCATGTCATGCACAGATACAAATCGCAGACAATATAAACTAGAGCTTTGCATGCTGTTTGGTTCCTCTGTGTCTGCTTTCTCATCCTTTTCCAAATATCCACAGGAGACTCAAAGAGCAGGTAGCCCCTGGACACGTGAATTTCAGTGGAATCAGATTTTGTGGAAGGACATAGAAATCAGTGGGAAAATAAGCCAAAGGGAAAAATTTTGGTTTATATTCTGGAATATCTGTGGAGTACAATTTTTATCTTTCCTAGGGGCTTTCCCTTTGAAATTAAACTGGTCAGTCTGGTTGAAAGGCCCAGGTTTTCTTTTTCTTGTCTGTGTAGATTTGACATCATGACAGCCCTGAGTCCTTTCAAAGAGAGGGGAAGGGGTATTGCCAGAAGGCGGCCCAGCACATACATCTCCACTATGCTGACTGGCTTGTCAGGGAAAATAAGACATAAAAAGAACTAGAAGAGGGGAATAAAACACAGCATTAGGGCAATGTCTTCAGAAATGTGGAGCACCTCCCATGCCAGCCCATGGATGCTATCAGTAATAATGATGCCATCACAGTGGGGTGGAAACGCAACACGAGGTCTCTGCCTGGGGCCATGAGAGATGTCTGAAGAAATCTCTCTCCACAAGAGCTGCTGACTTTTGTTTACTTTTAACCTGTTTCCTGGCTTCCAGGCTGGCATCGGTTGCACTCCTGGATGGGCTGTCCTTTCTTTCCACAGTTAATATTTTGATGAGACCCAAGCAAACACTCTGTTTTTGCAGAATAACTGTGCAGAAGAGGCGGATGAGAGTGCCTTTGCCAGTACTGCACTTTTTGGGTGCTCTTCTTTCAGGTGGGCACTGGGTTTAGAGGACTATTTTGGTTTCTAGCTCTTTTCGAGTTTCGAAGTCTACTTATTTCAAATGCAGACGTATTGCTTTGCCCTAGGTTCCTCACTCAACTTGACTGAAGCACAATGTCTCCATCTCCAACATCCTTTGAAGTATACCCTTTTAATGTGAATGGGCTGCTTCTAGGGGAAGACTTAATTGCCTTTCTCTTTCTGCTCCTTTTTTTTTGTAAAGGGATAGCTATCCTTTTGATTTTGCTGCCTTTGGATGCTTCAGGCGACTGAGTAAGGACATTTGAAATGTGTTGACATTTCAGATGGATCCCTGACAGCCTTTCATGGTTACTAATGTCAAGCTGTGGTTTTACACAGTGGCCTTCATCAAGTTGCTTTGTAAAACCTGCATTGTCATATGAATTGTTCTCCCAGTATTTTGTACTTTAAGCAGACATAAGGATGCACGGAGAAGTAACTAAATAGGATCTGTGTGCATCGAGATTATGAAAGATGAGACTGAAGGAAGAGGGAGATGCCTTGTCTATGGAGAACGTCCTGCTGGCATAGAACTAGTTTAGAAGGGCAGCTTTCTGCTCCTTCCTGCTCTGCATCGAGAAACACACAGGTGTTTCTATGCTGTGTGGTCCCGTCACTTTGGGCAAGATGGGGTCTGATGTTCAGTGTTCAGCAAACAGTGTATGTAATAGGTGAACTGGTTTCTATCTGTTCCTGAGCTGACTTGATTTTGGCCAGGATAAGGTGTTGCATAATTTATCCTTTCCCTTATACAGGGAAACCAACGTGCCACTTCCTTGGACCTCATGATTTGATCCAGTGTCTTTATGGTGGCCTTTCAAGTCTCTTGGTACAGGCAAACTGCTAATATGACAAGTTATATTTGCTGTTCCTGTAGATAGTGCTGTCTAAAGACAGTAGTAGCTTGTAAGTATCAGAAGTAGTAAAACAATTAAATTGCAAAGCACTTTACACTCTTCTTTTGCCACTTACAGTCCCTCTTGCATAGATGGCTCTGATGATGGGGACCAAAATGCTCTTTGGAAAGCCTTTTTATTAACAAAATTGACTACAACTTCCTCAGGTCTTTGTGCAAAAGATTGTCTGGGCAGACCCAGTCATATCTAAGTGGATTCAGTGGCAACATTACTTTTTCAGGGGTATTAGGTGTGCTCGTACTCAATAAAGTATGTTTCCCCATTCAACAGGGGAAACAAAAATACATTTCAGAATAGGGAGAAATGGTGAGCGAATGTAAGTGGAACCTTGATGGTGCCTGATCTTGCAAACATTGCACAATGAGATTCAGAATCATTCATGAGATTCATTCATTCCTCAGATTCATAGGTAGTATGAGATTAGAATCCCTATAACCGGTCCTTCCTCCCTGCCACCAATCCCTAAAATTGTAAATGAGGTGTCAAGGATCAGGTGTTGCTCTGCCGTGTATGCCTTGTGTTGGTGCATCCATGCTGCATCTCCCTCGGTCTCCTTTGTTGCTGGTGTTGATAGCAGTTCCCTGCTGCCACACAGGTTGTGCCTTTATTTATCTGCAGTGCAGGGGATTACCCAATGAGAGCACCCATGCTTGCTTTAAAAGGTTCTTTTTTGTTTTTCTTTTCTTCTCCTTTTGGGAAATCCCACTCCATCACTAAACAGAGTCATTGGAAGGCACCTGCCTGCTGTACATGACATGTGTCTGACAGCCGAGAAAGAAATGAATTAACGGTGAGCTGGGTTGTGGTTCTTTCTGTTATAAGCTTGTTTTAAGCAATCACCTTGTCAGTGTTTACCCTTTTTCCTGCTCCTGAAGGCAGATGAATGTGCTGGCCAACATCACTCAAATCTATCAGGAGCAGCAAGCTCCAAAGGGAAGTGGTTCCTGGGTAAGGGTGCTGCTCCATGGAGCGTGTCACCAGCCAGCGGCACCTCTGTATCTCCTCAGGGCATCTTCCTCCTCGAGGAAGAGGAGGGAGGATAGGAGCAGGGGCCTTCCTTGGGGAGTATGGGAAGGGGGTTGCAGTGAGCACAGGATGCAGGAGGGGACTGTTTCAATAGCAGGTCACAGGGAAGGGGAGTCACAGGACACTTTGTTTGCTTGTTTACACTTATATTTCTTGTGGAATCACTGTTTTGGTTTTTAATGGCGTGTGAGGAATACTGCCAAAAATGGAAAACATTCATTAGAATTTTTAATGAAGCCGATTGTACCTCTTTTCCATTTAATTTCCATGAATATTCTACAGAATATAAAGGGAATATTCACTGGAGCAATAAATGTTATGCTAATTCTGTGGCACAGAAATGGGAAGTGAGTTTTGAATTCATAATTGTATCTGTAATGATAACCTATTTTATACGGTACCCATCCAAAACCATGCTTCATTTGCATTGAAGTCAGACTTGAGTGTCTTTCTAGACTTCAGAGTATGTACACAGCTTCTGCACAATGAGTGCATGGGCAACAAATCTAAACCACACTGAGCAAGACGGTGCTCAACCCAAGTATTACAAATTTTAGGGGAAAAAAAACCCAAACTAAACCTTAAATCCAGACAAGCAGGGACCTGTCCTGGTTCCATGAGATTTTTCACTATTCTTGAGCTAATCCCAAACAGTGGAACAATACTAGGAACGGCAATTTGTTGATAGGGTTTGTTTTTTTCAACCAAGTCTTTACTCTTCACAAGGATAGTACTTCCAGACATTACAGCTGTGGAATATTTCCTTTTACCACCAAGTCCAGCATGAAAGCCATCAAACAGGGCAAAAAGAAGGAAAAGGTGTAATAAAACGGAAGGCATCATGCACTTAATCCCCACACATAACGGATTTAGAACAATGATCCTGACTAAGCTCATACAAGTTAGATTTGAGTCTTTTTGAAAGTTAGTATTAAGAATTGTTTTTATATAATATCACATTATTTTCTCCATATACTTTATATAATGTTACCTAATGGGATTTGCCTCTAATGATTGCAATAAATGTTTTCCTTCGTTTCGACAATCAGTTTTCAGTTCTTTGTAGGTAGCCATGTATCTCTGATAACTATCAGAGTAGGTAGGTAGCCATGTATCTCTGATAACTATCAGAGATAGATCGCTGCCTCTCTTATCCATGTGAGTTGCCTTACTGACTTGCATAAATATATTTAAATGGGTAAGGAATTGTGCTCCTAAAGGTTACTCTTTGTAAACCTGTCCTGATTTTTGTTACTGTCTTGGACAAGAGGATATTTTTTCCATGAAATCTTGCATTATTTGTTTTCATAGAATGAGGGAATTGTTAGGGTGGTAAAAAAAACCTTAAAATCATCCAGTTCCATCTCTAAATGTAAGGTGAAGTGTGACACAAAATGTTTTATGAGCTTGGTGATGAGAGTTTGCCTCTTCTTAGGATTTTCCTGCTACTGCTGAATTGTCAATAAATCATCTGGACCTATTTATATAACGCTATTAGCAAGCACTTATTTTTACAGTAGAGGACAGGCCATTATCTTCTAAACGACTGTTTTATAATAAGTTCTTTCTGCTTTTCTTGTCAGATTTTTTCTTTTTAATTGAACAGAATTTTAATTAATGCTAAGTTTTGGGGCATCCTCTGTGATTGTTTTAAAGCGATTTTAACTCTTTTTAAGCCATTTGACAAAGTTTTTCCTCTGAGGCTTTTTTGGCCTGCGAGGCCTCCTTCAGTGCAGACAGGTATTTTGACACTGTGTGTTTTAGCGTGGATGATTTTAATTTTAAATCGATGCTGCCTTTTATTTTAATTCCGTTTAAGCCTCTTGCAAGCACCATAATTTAAAGTGAATAGGCACTTTGAAACCTGGAATAAGTGTCCAGAGAGGATAATTTCAGAATCCCTTGCATATATCCATTAAAATGCATACTTTGTTACACTGAAGGTCTTTTCCTTTGTGGAAAGGAAGCAGTCTGCAATTTACAGGCTGCAAGGTTTTATTTTAGTGCAATAAAATCTCAATTGCATATGAGACCAACATATCGAAGCTTCCATACCAGAAGAGCTTAATTGTAATTTTTCTTCCCTTTCAATGAAAATGCAAATCGATAAATAGTATTTAATTATTTCATGTCTATAGCTAAGGTGATTTAGCACTTTATGACATCTGATTTGTGTTCTGTGGCTGGTGGGGTAGTTCTAAGGCGCAGTTGATTGATACGCTCCCCTTTCGCCTTTTGAGACCTCAGTTTGATCCTGGCATAGGTCACGCTGGAAATTAGTTTCGATGGGCATGTTTTGCTCTTTAATTCATGTTTGTCCACATCATAAACCCATCGAGCAATGCGAGGCAGTTAACAGTCAACGCCACAGACAAGAGGATGACCAGATGGGTAGACAGGATTTTGAAGGGTAATTTGTGTCCCTCAGCAAAATTGTGATTTGGAGCAGCTGAGCTCAGCTTTGTCTGAATTCCTGGCTCTGACTCGTCTCTCAGTTACTTAGTTGATCCATAGAGACCAAATGCATATACCTGAAAATATGGTTTTCCCAGTTGTCTTCCTGTAACTCTTGACAAGTTTTAAGGACCTAAGGCAAGTTCTAGAATGGGCATTTTGATATAACCTGGCAATGTCCGTTTGAGAGCATTTCTTGTTGATTATTTGAACTTTAAAGTCACAGTGACAAAATAAATCCAACCATACCATTAGCCAGCGTTCTCAGAGGTGACACTGCTGTGTTCCCTGGGCAGCCTCGTGATTCCATCCCTGGTTAAGCAAGAATCCCTGAGGGTAAAGCTCAGCAGCGAATCCAGAGCTCCACGACAGCAGCAGTGCCTCTCTGTGTCTCGAGAGCAGGTAAGAGCTTTATTGTTTCACACACTCTGTATACAACTTCATCATGCAAAACCCCCTATTTCTCATAAACTAACTGCCCGCTGAGCAGTAAAAAGGAAAAGCTAAGTGGAAACCGGTAGGGATCTGTCTGCAAGAGGCACTTGTGCCACTTACACATGCAGGTGCAATAGC